TCCTCCTCTCTGCAAACCTAACTCCCTTCCATCACTGATGAGGTTCCCTAGTTGGGTCATGAAACGCCTGCAAGAAAACCACTAAGCTCAGAGCACACCAAGGACCCCTCATTTCAATCCTGAGCTACAAATATTCCTTTTTAGTGGTATCTAAACTTAACAGGCCAAACAGAGATAAATGAACTTTCAACAGCTCTGTTTACATAACCTGACTACTAACTCTTGGGCAACAAACTCATCTTCTGGTTCCACTAACACATCATCACCAAAGATTCAGTCCGAATATGGTTGTTGAACATCATCAGTGCCTATTGCAAACAACCAAGAGAGTGGCAAAAGCCATCTTTAATCACATTTTCCCATATTGAAAATCTCGGGAGACTATTATTATTATTATTATTATTATTATTATTATTATTATTATTATTATTATTATTATTATTATTATTATTTACAAATCTCTTTAAGTCGAAAGAAGAAAGTGTTTCTCGTGTTAAAGAAATAAAGCAACTCAGATGAGACAACCCCAACCGTTTTTAATTAAGAGTGCCACCCAAACTAAAAAAAATAGTAGGTTCGTTGGTTGAACTTATTACGGTAAGTAATTCCCACATTATGCATGTGGATTACGACGGGCGGATTTTTAACTGTTTTTTCGGAATGCAGACTGAGACGGATCGCAAAATAATTTGCATTTTCTGCATGAGAAGCATCCCAACGCAATCGCTAAGAAGTAGAAACAGGCTGCCCATCTGTAGTAACTCACAGTTTACTAACTCTCTCTGTTTTTTGTGAGACAGAAAAAGAAGAAGGGGGGGAAAAAACCAACACTAAACACTTGCAGATTTACTCTGGCACCAAACACCCCTGTCTCTACTGCAACATACTTCTGAGTAAAAGAGAATAGGGTTTTAAGAGATGGAAAATCCAATTTTGGAATCAGAGGTGTTGCTGTTTTAAGCTGGGATGCTTTTTCCTCATTCAATCACTGTGTTGGAAACAGCTAAGTTTAGAATTAAACATTTTTGTGGTACGCATCAAGGACAGGGGGTGACGGATGTAATATGGTTCCACTTCCTGGTAAAATTAGTGTTTATTTGTATTTTCCAGTCGGAAGGGGGGAGAAAGAAAGAGTTGTCTCGACCGCAGGATAGGTAAACCACCTTATAACGTAGGTCAAAACCTGCGTTATAAATATATATATTTAAATATTTGTATATTTGTAAATATAATATAAATGTTGAGAGTCTAGAAAGAGTGCAGAGAAGAGCAACAAGGATGATCAGGGGACTGGAGGTTAAAACATTTAAAGAACGGTTGCTGGAATTGGGTATGCCTAGTTTAATGAAGAGAAGGACCAGGGGTGACATGATAGCAGCCTTCCAGTATCTCAGGGGCTGCCCCAAAGATGAGAGAGTCAAGCTGTTCTCCAAAGCCCCTGAAGGCAGGACAAGAAGGAATGGATGGAAACTAACCAAGGACAGAACCAACTCAGAATTAAAGAGGAATTTCCTGGTAGTTAGAACAATCAATCAGTGAAACAACCTGCCTCCAGAGGTTGTGCATTCTTCATCACTGGAGGCTTTCAAAAAGAGATTGGACAGCCATTAGTTTGAAATGGTATAGGGCAGGGGTAGGCAACCTTGACTCTTTTATGACTTGTGGACTTCAACTCCCAGAATTCTTGAGCCAGCACAGCTGGCTCAGGAATTCTGGGAGTTGAAGTCCACGAGTCGTAAAAGAGCCAAGGTTGACTACCCCTGTGCTAGATGTTGGCTGGGTTTCCTAACACAACTCTTGGATGCTGGCTCATGCTGGCTCAGGAATTCTGGGAGTTGGAAGTCCACAAGTCATAAAAGAGTCAAGGTTGTCTACCCCTGGTATAGGGTTTCCTGCCTGAGCAGGGGGTTGGACTAGAAAACCTTTGAGGTTCCTTCCAACTCTGTTATTCTATTCTATTCTATTCTATTCTATTCTATTCTATTCTATTCTATTCTATTCTATCATTCCATTCCATTCTGTTATTCTATTCTATTCTATTCTATTCTATTCTATTCTATTCTATTCTATTCTATTCTATTCTATTCTATTCCTTAATTCTATTCTATTCTATTCTATTCTATTCTATTCTATTCTATTCTATTCTATTCTATTCTATTCTATTCTATTCTATTCTATTCTATTCTATTCTATTCTATTCTACTTCATTCCATTCTGATGGTAATATAGGTTATTTTACTTAAATAAAGTTAAGCCAATCCTTCCCTTGCACACGTTGACTCCTTCTGTGCTCCTTCTGATGAACAATTGCCCCAGACTCCTACCTTGATAGCACCCCTGGGGGAAAAAGGCATTTAATGAAAACCATAAGACCCACTTCCTTTCTTCTTCTCATTTTTTTTAAAAAAATGCTATGTGTAGCCAAATACTCCAACCACACAACCTCTCAAAAAAATAGCTAAAGGGGGTCCTAACCAGTAAGATGGCAGGCGGTGGCGGGTGTGTGTGTGTGTGTGTGTGTAAACCGGCCAACTATTCTTTCCTTCTCTCGGCCTCCTGTTCTTGAAGTCCCAATTTGCTTGAGGTCCCAGAATATTTTACGCGGCCTCCCCTTCCAACTGTAGCTTGGGGTGTTTTTTTTGTGTGTGTGTGTATGTGTGTGTGTGTGTGTGTGTGTGTGTGTTTGCAAAAAGGCCTCTGGAGCCAAGTCAGCTCCAAGCCCTGTTGCAATGCCTCACAGTTTTTGTTTTGTTTAATTTTCGACCTCCGTCTCATGAAACAAAGGTCAAAGCAAACTTTTGTTGGACTGGAGCGACGGTCTTTGGCTTCCTTACTTGCGTGAGTTGTGCGTAGATGTGTGAGCGTGTGTGTGTGTGTGTGTGTGTGTTCCTCTACAACAGCACCGAAAGAGAGAGCAGGGTGCCCTGCCCCTCTTAAGGTTGGCTGCTTCAGTTCTCTGAAAAAAAAAAAAGACTTTTGATCAGGATGGAGAGAAAGGACGAGATTTCTTTGAAAACCAAGAAGGAGAGGGCCGGTTGGAGCGTTTCAAGAAAGCTACCTAGAATATTTTCTGGCGTTTCCGTGAAAAAAACCTGCTTCAGCCACATTCTTGGAGGCACAAGACAGCCAAGCACAACTAAGGGTGAAGGGAAATTTGGGGGGGGGGGAAACACAACACTGGATGATTCTTCCAAGGAGAAGCTACCCAAACGAGACCAGAGAAGTAGTTATGAAATCAGAGAGCTGAAGAAAATAGAAGGAACGTGTTAATAGTCTTCCTCGTGCAGATTTCGGCTTCTGACTGTGGTCAACTAGAGTTCTGCAAGAAGCTCATACACACACATACACACACACAAAACCACATGAGAAGTTAACCCAGTTTTTTTTTTCCCAGGTTGCCAACTAGGACCACGTAACAAAAAAAAAAGGTTTTTGCAGCTTGGAGACTGGATAGATAAGAGGGCATTGACTCCCAAAGCAGTGAAGATGTCAAAGCAAGATTCTTTAAGGTAAACAATGCCTCGAAGTTCTTTGAAGAGTTTCATCTGTTGGAACCATGACATTAGAGTCTAGAAAACAGGAGAAGTCTTCCCTCATTTCATGACTACCTGGAGCCATTGTTCATTCTGGACAGATGTGGGCGGGAAAGGGAAGCTGTACTTTACATCATGCATGGAGAATCCAGTACCTTCAGATGCTGTGATAGGACACCAGCTGAGATGGTAACTGGATTAAATTCACAGAGTATCAAGCTACTAGCGGGCTACTAGCCTCAGTTACCCAAAACAGAGTAAGTTATTTACTACTCCATTTTCTTGTGTCTGAGAGTTCCTGGGTGCAATTACTTGGTCGGCTGCCGTGCAACAAAGGATGGTGGATCAGACAAACTGTGGGCCCAAACCAGCCTTAGGTTCATACGTGCACAACTCAGAAGTAGCAATAAGCAGGCACATCTAGAAGGACAAGTGAACATCTCTGGCTCACAAAAGATTTCTCTGTCCAGTTGTGTCTCACTCTAGGGCACATTGCTCATCTCCGTTTCTTGGCCAAGGGATCCAGCGTTGTTCAAAGACAATTTCTGCGGTCATGTGGCCCAAGGCGCTTAGAATTCTGTTACCTTCCCACCAAAGTGGTACCTATTAATCTACTTGCATGCGAAATCTTAAAAGAGGGGTAGTTAAATATAATTGTGTTCAGTGTTAGAAACAACTAGGGGTTGTTCCTGATTGGGTGGTAGACAGGCATTATTCTGGATCATGTAACTCTTATGTAACCCTGACTAGAGCATGTAGATCTGTATGTAAGAATGTTTGGCATTTATTGGGTTAAGTGCTGTCTCCTTAAGAGATGGCTTATGGGTAATGTAGTTTTAGCTAGTCAGCTATATCATGTTAGTAGGTTAGTAGGAGGAGTTTCTAAAGGGCATCACAGGATTTCCTGGACACGAGCCAGCTTGGAATGTTCTTTGTCTGAGTTAGCATGGAGTCACCGCAGGACCCAGATGATCTCATTTCCACGCTAGAAGTTGGTATGGAGAAAGTATTAATTTCTCACCTCTAAGGATGAACAGATTACTTGTCCAGATGGAATCTACAAATAGCAAGTATCATTTCTGACTGAATAAATTATCTGTTTTGAAATCATCTTTATTGAGTTTATCTATCTGACCTGGATTTACAAAGCAACTTAACTCTGGGTCAGAACAGATAAACTCAATAAAGATGATTAGCTGTGAGAAAACAAATAAAGCCTGCCTCCTCGTATAGGCAAACCCAATCGTGAAAAACGCCGTCCTGTTTTAATCTAGTTCTAACGAACTATGCAAATCCAGCTTAATTAATACACTCGTCTGTCTTCTGCCTGAAAGTAGCAGCAAATCCTTCAAAAGTCATCAGTCGTTGCACGTGGAAGCCCCCGGGGTCTCGAGGTGATACACAGGGCTGTCCGAAACCATGGTTTGTTCACCCCAGAAATACACTGAGTGCCCCAAGCATGCTTACTTGATTTGCTGCTGGCTGACCTGCTACCACCGTAGCTGGGCACTTCTCGTTATAGTGCGAAACCGACACGTTGGATGCCCACTGGTCCAGGAACCCTTTGGGTGTGTAGATCCCACAATCCGCGATGCTGGTTGTCTGCTCAAACTCTTCGCACACGCCATCCCCATCGTGGAAGTAGCAACGGCTTGGCTCATCTGTGGGAAAGAAAATAGCATCACGTCAAGGCAGAAGCAAGCGCCAACTCTTGTCAGACGCGCCATCCCTGCTTAGCGAGATGCCAGGCTGTCATGAGAAACAGAGGGGGAGGAAGTTGTGGGGTGGGCTGAAGTGGGGGAACAGAGGGAAAGAAACTGAAAGTCTTTGCAGCACCCCATAAGAGCCATGGGCTGCTCTGAGCTCACCCAATGGAATGCAACACGTTCAAGCCCACTCAACTGGAGACTGTTACCAAAATAATTAGTCTGAATACCATCGGGCACCCACTGATAAATATGGGGAGGGGAGACAGGAACCAAGGAGGAAGGTTAACTGCTTGTTTAGGGCACGAAACACCAGATTTGGCTTTGCTAATACTGTAACTACTTAGATAAGATAAACCTTTATTGTCATTTTTTTTTTTACTGTGAGCACACTGGCACGCAACAAAGATTAAATTTGTTGCCCTCTCTCAAAAGAAAGTATATATCTACCCATACACATACATAACACACACATGCGCACAATATATATATACACATATGTTGCTAAGAGTACTAAAAATAAAACACTGATTCCTGGGTGAATTCATATTGCCTGACATAAAATACACGACCACCAGGAAAATTATAAAACTATAAAAAGTTTTAATGGAATAAAGTATACCTAGCTTTCGCTGGTCACTGGGGCCCGTGACGAGGACTAGGAGCTGGGCGCAATGAGCGCAATGCTTATAAATAGCCTCACCACCTTCTGGAGGTTACCCTGATGATGCTGGCAGTGACCAGCGAAAGCTAGGTATACTTTATTCCATTAAAACTTTTTATAGTTTTATAATTTTCCTGGTGGTCGTGTATTTTATGTCAGGCAATATACACATATATATTAATCACTGTGCATTTTGAATACATAGCGGAAGGAGGAAGCTTGAGAGCTCAAAAGGTTGATACTGTATGGAAGGAAATGGTGGCTGAATCTGGATGTTCTGCTTCGGATACCACGAAACACCCCCACCCTGCTCAAGCAATGCTTATGTGCTATGTCAGTGGGGCGAACCTATGGCACACGTGCCAGAGGGGGCACTCGGAGCCCTCTCTGTGGGTATGCGCGCCTCGCTCCTTGGCTAAGTTTTCTCTGGAAAAAAGCCATTTATCAAGCACATTCCTAGCCAAAACAAGCCTCCGAAGCGAGTGCGCTGTTTTCAGCTTTGAATTATATCAAATATGACACCAGAAACAGACTAACAGATGACCTGAGTGCTGCATGTGTTGCTCTCAAACTTACAAGTATGAGCCAAGGTTAGACAAGTTATCAGCATGCATACAACAGCAAAAATCACATTAATTGTTCAAAAGCATGCCAAATGCAAGCTTTTACCTTTCAGTAAAAAGTTGTTTGTATCATTGAAAGCTTTGTCATTGTGTTTTTCTTTGAAGACAAAAGATGTTAATGTAGGAGTTGTTTTTTTCTAAACTAAAACTTCAGTATTCAGATTAAATTGCCGTGTTGGCACCTTGCGATAAATAAGTGGGTTTTGGGTTGAAGTTTGGGCACTCGGTCTCTCAAAGGTTCGCCATCACTGTGCTATGTCCTGGATAGAAGAGAGGGAACTGCCAATGATCTTTTCAGCTGTCCTCACCACTCTCTGCACTGCCTTCCTGTCCGAAGCAGTGACGCTTCCAAACCAGACAGTAATGCCATATGACAGGATGCTCTCGATCGTCCCTCTATAGAAAGTGGTGAGGACAGGAGAAGGAAGATGTGCTTTTCTCATGCGATGGCAAAAAAAGTACTTGGCTTTAGTAAAGTATACTTCCACTAGCTATGAGCCTGGGAGTCGTTCTTTTGTATTGACTAAGTTGGGACGGCTGATGCCTCCTCCTCTCCAATGCCCAAGGGTGGCACACGGTGCAACTCGGCAAACCAATCTCAACGGTGTCTTTAGGAAAGCCAAGCTCTTGCCCTGGAACTAAATTATGCAAATGAGAAACATTTGCACAGATTAACTCCTCTGGCAGAAAGCCCTCAACTTCCATCTCGGTCTGGTTTTCATCATGCTGTTCTCCGCCACCCCTTTCTTCTCGTCAAAAGGCTGGGTTGGCAGAGGGCAAGGAGACACAGAGAGGAACACACTTAACGATTGTGTACATAGGCTCCGGTCAACACTTGGTGTGCAAAAGTGTTCGGACAGTCGTTGAAGTTCGCATAACAGTGTATTTTACACTGGTGACGAACCGGGACCGAGATTGTGTGAAGTAGGGACTAGTCACCGGCATACAATAATCTGCTCAAAACAAAACCGGCACGTTTGTAGACCTAAGTAGATCCCGGACGTTCCACCAATTTCAACCCACTTGGGGAATTGCCCAAAGTTTATCTACTCAGACTTGGAAATAGTCCTTCTGTTGGGGGAAACGACGTTTCCAAGATCAAACCTGGAACCTTCTGCATGAGAAGGATGCCTCTCTGATCCATATAGTCCATGCTTGGAACACTCCAATGACCTCTTTTGGGGGTCTCAACATTGAAATGACCTGGAATCTTCTGCAGATAAGATCTATCAGCAATGGACAATATTGTATTAATACAGCTAATTACTTAATTACAATTTAGCACAAGGAGCACCATTATGAGGGATCCTTGGTGCTGTCTGAGCCTGGTGATTTTCTTGCAGATGTGTCATTATCCAAGCTAGGTAATGTCATCGGTGTTGGAGCATGGTTTGTGGAGAGGAGGAGGAGGAGGAGGAGGACTATTGTGGGGTCCTTGGTACTCTCTGAGCTTGGTGGTTTTCTTGCAGATGTTTCATTATCCAAGCTAGGTAATGTCATCAGTGTTAGAAGGGAGTGCGGTTTGTGGAGAAGAGGAGGAGGAGGAGGAGGAGGAGGACAACAACAACTACTACTACTACTACTACTATGGGGTCCTTGGTACTCTCTGAGTTTGGTAGTTTCCTTGCAGACGTTTCATTATCCTCCTTTCATTCATCAGGAAGGAGTTTGCTGTCTTGGCACAGATGGTGTCACCTAGTTTGGGTCATGAAATGTCTGCAAGAAAATCATCAAGCACAGAGAGCACCAAGGACCCCTCATTTCAACCCTGAGATACAAAGATTCTCCTTATAAGCCCAAGAAATGGTCTTGAACCCAAACTATTTGCCCCCTCTATTTTGGAAGAGTTTCTTGTAGTTTACAGCTGTTCCCCAGGTGAAAAAGGAGACAGGTCCTCTCCATCAACACAACTGGAGTTTTCCATGAGCTACAGATTTGCTACCTCCAGAAGGAACGGGCTGTTCCTGCGCTCAGCGAATCCCCATTGTCCGTGTTCTCTAAATGTGACCCAAACATTCCCAGGAGACTTCTTAACCAGTGGCTTATAGTCATGCATCTGTATCTTGACACACAAACTTGTATGAAACCAAGAGAAGTAAACAAAAATAAACAGTGCAGGGTTAGAAAATAACAACAAAGCGAAGGAAGAATTGGCTGAGGGCGACTGGTTTTGGTGGCCTGGTGCCAGCCGAGAAACTCCAGGCTCCAGTGTCATCCCTTATTTTGTTCTACCACGATACTTGCGAAACACCAAGTTTAGTGAGGACAAAGTCTTAGTAATTGGAAGCCTCTATTTATCCCACATGCAGCCTGTGTGGGAAAAGGGAGGAGGGGAAGGAGAGGAAAACAAGCTTGAATGAGACACCGAGAGCTAAACGGGAAGGATAGAGAGCAGAGAAAAATTGTGCTGCTTCCATGGTCCCACAGAGGCTCCATCCCCTTTACCTCTTGAACAGATTTTTTCCAGACCTGGAACCCGATAATTATGAATCCCAACATCTCTTGAACCTCAGCAAAGCTTTTGCGACAGAGCTGGGCCAGCTGCCTTTTCTTTGTGTGTGTTTATTTCCTTTGTTAAGAATGTCCTTCACTAAAAGATGAAGGAGGGAGGGAAGGAAGGAAGGAAGGGAGGAAGGGAGGAAGGAAGGGAGAGAGAGAGAGAGGGAGGGAGGGAGGGAGGGAGGGAGAAGGAGGAAGGGAAGAAGGGAGGGAGGGAAGGAAGGAAGAAATAAAGAAGGAAAG